CTCGAACTCATGGACCGCGAGATCATGACCTGAGCCGAAGTTGGACGCTTAACCGACTGAGCCACCCAGGCACCCAAAATAAAATATAATTTTAAAAATAACAAAATAAATTCTATTTATAATCATTTGGGACCACCTGGCAATACTAGTCAAGTGCAGGATTATGGAAAAGTGAAGGTATTAGATGGACACAGGGTTCAGATTTGAATAAATGTCTCCAGATATTTAAACATTTTGTTTCTGTGAATTTTTTATTTACAAATACATACCTCATACTTTCCCCCATTTCTTTTTTGCCATTTTCCTTATTTTAAATACAAATACTTTCTTCATATATACATACATGTGTATGTATATGTATACATATGCTTGTTTTGTTTTGAAACCATTCTGACAATCATAATCATTGTATCTAGAGAGATACCATGGCCCACCAATGATAGAAGTTTTATGGAAATGTAATCTCTTCCTAGGATTCATCAGAAACTGTACATCTCTGGCTTGAATATGCTATACTCAAAGGTATGGTACCATTTTTCCTTCTATTATAGAAATCCTTTCAGAACATATGTCATTCATCCTTATATTCTGGAACTGCCTGGCACAAAGGAGCTGTTTAATAAATGTTGACTAAACAGATGATTGAATATCCAAAACTTTTCCTCTCAGCATTATGACCTAATCTATGTTGGGGAATCAGAACAACTTTGACCTTCATCATATGCTCAAATAATTCCTTACATTTAGGGTGAAAACAAACAAAACCCACTTACTCAAAGTGAGGATGATTTTTTTACATGATGGATTAGGTACTTCAAAAATTGGATTGCATCTGAGTATGCTGACCAGGACCAAAATAACTCCAAGGCACATGAAAAGGTGTTAAATATTAATGTACACAAAGGAACTTTCCAGGGAAACTTGCCTGTTCAAACTCCTCCATGTCTACTTCTCCATCTCCGTTCAAATCAAACATCTTGAAGGCAATTTCAAAATTTCTCTGAGGAGCTGCAGGGAGTAAGGAAGGAAAGAATGGGAGGGAAGGAGGAGGAGAGAAGGGGGGAAAATATTTAGAAGGCATTAACTAAAAACAAAAAATCATTCCTTTAAGAAAAACAGAGAGTTAAACATTAAAATTTATTTATCTATCTATCTATCTATCTATCTATCTATCTATCTATCTATCTATCTATTTACTGAGAGACAGAGAGAGCATGAGCAAGGAAGAGGGGCACAGGGAGGAGAGAAAATCTTAAGCAGGCTCCACGCTCACACAGAGCCTGATGTGGGGCTCAATCCTCCAACCCTGGGATCATGAGCTGAGCCAAAATCAAGAGTCCATAGGGCATCTGGGTGGCTCAGTCTGTTAAGCATCTGACTTCGGCTCAGGTCATGGTCTCACAGTTCACGGGTTTGAAGCACAGAGCATACTTCAGATCCTCTGTCTCCCTCTGTCTGCTCCTCCCTTGTTCTCTCTCTCTAAAAAAAAAAAAAAAAAAAAAAAAAAGGAGCCGGATGCTCAACTGACTGAGCCACCCAGGCACCCCAAACACTAAATGTAATATCAGGTGTAATATCAGAATGCCACCATATTTATCCAGATCAATCTTATAGCGATACTCCTTAAAACCAAAAGAGAAATTTTACTATGGCCAGTAAAGATAGCGCTTGTCTCTTTGTGTTTCAACACCAATCTAAATGCTTCAGCTTTGCTTTCTTAGAAACCATCCTCTTAACTGTGTAATATTAATGTTGTGCTGTTACTTAAATGTAGCATTATTTATCTGGGCATGAACGTCTGCTTGGGGTGAGACATATTGTGGCAAAGTAAGAGATTGAAACTCTAAGTCTTTGTCTTGCCTTTTTAAAGCCAGCTAGATTTCTAGTTCGTTCTTTCTAGTCTCTCCATTGTAAGTGCAATCGCGAGTTCAGTGGATGTCATTCAGCTATCAGGTTATTTTCTATACTATTTTGCTCATTATCACTATAGCTCTGAGGTAAGGACAAAAAGCATACTGGTATCTACTCAGCCTCCTATTTCAACCACGTCAGCTGGGTATACAAATTACTGAGCAAAATATATGGAAATGGTAAAATAAAGCTGAAGTTTAAAAAACAAAATGAAAAATGCAAAGCTTGAGAAGATGGCATATGTAGTTTTTTCCCCTTAGGTGAATGGCAAAAGCTCTTGAAGACTTTTTAGTATTCCTAGATCAAGAAATATAATATAAATATAATTAATACACTTGTGCATTAGAATAAAATGTAATGTCCCTTCTTCCTTACCACACTAACTGTTCTGGTAAAGAAAACAAAGTTGTTTACTTCCTTCCTTTGGTACTTCAAATTTATATAAATGTAGAGAATAAACCAAAATAAAATATCCTATATATCCTAATACTATTGAATTAAATTTTCAGTTAATATAATTTTTATTAAAAATTTTAAAGATTATGGGTGCCTGGTTGACTCAGTCAGTTAAGCATCCAACTTTGGCTCAGGTCATGATCTCACAGTATGTGAGTTTGAGCCCCATGTTGGGCTCTATGTGGACAACTCAGAGCCTGGAGACTGCTTTGGGTTCTGATCTTCCTCTCTCTCTGCCCCTGCCCCACTCATGTTCTGTCTCTCTCTCTCTCTCAAAAATAAATTAAAAAAATAAACCTTAAAAAATAAAAAAAATTAAAGATTATAGGAAACAAAAAAGCAAAAAGGGGGCTTAGTATATTATGTATAGTTACAGAGAATCCATATTTCCACGTTACTCATGAATTTGTCAATCATAACACCTTATAGGGTTAAATTCCACTTTCAGCTAGCTAGCCAGCTAGGCTGGTGAGCTCTTGGGTTTTAGGTTGCCTGGGCGAATCATGTGCCTGTCAGCTTCCCATTGCTTGCCTCACTTGATAGTGGCTTCCAACAGGCTTATTCTTCTCTAGGCCACAAATACAACTGTTACAAAGGATACAGCCAGGGGAATTAGATTTTTGTATACTTATTGTCACTTCTTAAGTTTCTCCTACTTGTCTGGAGACACCTGGGTGGCTCAGTCAGTTGAACATCTGACTCCTGATTTCGGCTCAGGTTATGATCTCATGGTTTGTGAGACTGAGCCCTGCGTTGGAGCCTGCTTGGGATTCTCTCTCTCTGCCCCTCTCCAGCTCATGATCATTCTCTCTCTAAATAAATAAACATTAAAAAAAAATTAAAAACTTTCCTACTTGATGTTGCCTTTTACTGAAGAGTTACCACTATGTGCCAAGCCTTGAGCTTGATAATTTAAAGATGTTGATTATCTGATTTAGTACACTCAACTCTGAAAGTTTTAATTTTCTTTTTATTAAAAATGTTATTTATTTTGAGAGAGAGAGAGAGAGAGAGAGAGAGAATCTCAAGCAGGATCCACACTGTCAACACAGAGCCCAACACAGGGCTCTGTCTCACAAACTGTGACATCATCACCTGAGCCAAAATCAAGAGTCGGATGCTTAACTGACTGAGCCACCCAGACGCTCCTGATTTTTTTTCAACAGGGTAGACAATTGGGGCTCACTAAATGACAAGCCCCAAATTACACAGCTAATATGTGGCAGAACTGGTAAGTGAACCTAGGTCAACACTGACTCCAAAGCCCATAAACTTTTTCATTATGCTCCATGGCCTCCAACAGGGAGAGAGAGGTTCTTAACAATAATAAACACATACTCTATTTTGATATGTTTTAACCTAGACACAAAACAACAAAACATGACTCACTGATTATGTCAGTCTCTACAATAGCTGAGTTCCAAGTTCTTCATTTCAAGGACATACCATCAGAGAAACGTTGCATATGCCTTGCTTATACTTTAGACTTGGCTGCACTAATTGGAAATCCACAGGTAACATTAGATTCTCAGATAGGTTTGTCACATGTTTGAAAAAATCATGAATATGAATTGCTTTAGGCAGTAATGCATTCTCCTATCCTCCCCCCCTCATTCAAATACATCATTTGCCTATTCCTTGTAGATACCTGAGATTGTAATAACCACAGACAGCATAAAGCTGCTGAGAGTTTTAAGGCGGGGGCCGGGGGCGGGGGTGACACCATCAAACAGACGTTTATAAAGGATTTCTCTGGCTACAGTGTGAATTGAAGGATGAGTTGGAAAACAAGAACCAGCTTCGGAGAAGACCGAGGAAGCTCTTGTAAATGCTGAAAATGTGAACTGGGGTGACTGCAGTGGTAATGGAGAGGAAGAAACAGATCTGAAATAAGGAGGTGGGATTACACAACTTAATGATTAATTAGCTGTGAAGAATAGACAGTAAAAAGGCTGACAGCTTGACTGCCTTAGGCTAGCTTGCATACCATTAACCAAAAGATAAAACAGATGTAAAAGGTTCTGAGAAATAAAAGGAATTCTTTTCAGACCTGCTGAATTCAAGGGGTCTGCAGCCTGTTCAGAGGAAAACATCGGGCAACTGGAAGCCAATATTTAAGGTAAAAGGAAGGAGAAAGGAAGCAGTGACAGAGGAGGTGGCATCAGGAAGAAATTAGTCCAAATGAACAGAAATGGGGAAAAATTTGGCAAAAGCCAGTCAGTACGTTGAAGCAAAGCTCAACAATTAAAGCAGCATTCCCATTCCCTATCTCCACTCATTACAGAGAGGACACAGAGTGCTTACAATTTTAGCTTTATCATATTTTATTCTTATGTCCTGTGAGTTTTGTGAAGGCACAGTCATCATTTAAACGACTGAATGAGTTATTTCAGCACACCATAGTTAATATATCCTCTTACAATTATGGTCATTTTACCAAAGCACACCCTGTACTTTTTTTTATTATTTTTAATTTTTCATTTTGAGAGAGAGCGAGAGAGCGAGAGAGCGAGCGAGCACAAGTGGGGAAGGGGCAGAGGGAGAGGGAGGAAGAGAATCTCAAGCAGGCTCCATGCTCATTGTGGCCCAATGTGGGACTCAATCCCATGACCCTGGGATCATGACCTGAACAGAAATCAAGAGTCTGACACTCAACCGACTGAGCCACTCAGGTGCCTTACTCTGTACTTCTTGAGGTTTCTATATCTTTTGATCCTGCTTACTTTCAAATAGAGTATTTGCTTATGTGGAGCTACTCAGAGTGTTTATTAAAGTGCATGCACTGATACTACTCTAGAGGCTGCGCTTCTAGTGCACTGGTCATGATAAGGCAAGTCAGGGCAGCAGCCCTGCACACTCTCGGGCCTTACCAGTCTATCAGGAAAGGTCCTTCCAGGAGTCGTTCTCTCAGCCTATCCAATCTTCATCTGCTGATCATATCAAAGCATTTAAGACAAACAAGCAAATATCCATGTGCTTTTAAGTGAAACACGCTACCCGGGAATATGCTATTAGGCAACTCTTGTACTTCCCTGTCTCCCTTTAAATGTAGGCTTCAGAGTATTTTTTTTTAAATCTAGCTGCTCTGGAAAGTTTTAAGGTGTCCAGGGTTTCTGCTAACTCATAACCTGTTTCATAGAAAGGTACTGAGAGAGGAATTCTTTTGAATCCCAGGCTACTTACAGAGTGAACAGTGAAGCTTTCTCCCACTGTGTTATCAACATAATCTACTTTTAGTACAGTGATTTCCAAAATGATCGTAATATATGTTGGAAGTGATTAAAACAATAAGATTATATTCAAAGCTCATTACTCAGAGTTCCATGACAATCTGTGCTACTAGGAAATGGAGATCCCTTAGGTCTGTTCTAGTTAAGAATCCATGTTTATATTATTCTATCATTAACAGTGATAAAATAACGACCCTAGATTGCTCTTGGAAGCACAGATTTTTCTGCTTTGTTTTAGTAACAAAAAAAAAAGCATCTTTTTCTATATATATTAAGTCAAATATTCAGACAGCAATAACACTAGCTGTCTCAAGACTTTCAAGACTGTTCCACTTAGTGTTTTTTTAATAGAAAAGGCACAAGACTAGCCTCTAATTCTGGTTCTTCCAACAACATGAGTCATTATGCCTT